CCATCAGACAACTGTAGATTGTAATAACAGTAACTTGGTAAAGCTGGAACTAAACTTGTTTTGTGTTCCATCATACAACTGTAGATTGTAATAACAGTAGCTTGGTAGTTTGGTAAAGCTGAACTAAACTTGTTTTGTGTTCCATCATACAACTGTAGATTGTGATGACAGTAGCTTGGTAAAGCTGCAACTAAACTTGCTTTGTGTTCCATCAGACAACTGTAGATTGTGATGACAGTAGCTTGGTAGTTTGGTAAAGCTGCAACTAAACTTGTATTGTGTTCCATCATACAACTGTAGATTGTGATGACAGTAGCTTGGTAAAGCTGCAACTAAACTTGTTTTGTCTTTACTTAGTATAAGCGACAAAAATGGATAGTGGTTTGATGATTGATCAGAATAATTGGAGATTGGTTGTGAATTATTTTTTGGTACGTGTTATTATTATTTTTTTATCTATTTGTTTCTGAATCTCATCTCAAGAAAATCAGATGTTTGGGTAGTAAATCGAACATAATTAAAATGAATATTTCACATTGGTTAACAGTCAGTAGGTTTTTTCTTGGTTTGTACTAAACCACCACTCACTTGATGTGGTATTTTAAAGTCTCAGTTGCACAGGTAGCTAGATTGAAAAGTTTGTTATTACATAATCAGTTTCATGTTAGAATGAATAGGCTGTAATGCTTTTTTTTATATAAGATTAGCATATAGTAATCTTACACATGAACTTTACAGTAACTTTTTTGAATCATCCTTTTAAAGTAGAAAAAAGTTATGTAATAAGCTTCAAGCTAGAAATCTAAAGGTTTCAATATATTTATGTGTAATTTTGTTATATTTGATGAATGGAGAGACTAAACTTTTTTCATTAAACCTGATAAAGCTTTATTGTTTTTTATTTCTCTCCCAGTGGTTTTGACATTGTTCCTTATATGGAAGCGTGGAATGTTCCAGAATCTATTCTGGAGCCAGTTCGAGACAAAGGTCTTGGTCATCTAGCTGTTGCTTCTGTGATGTACAAAATTGTTACTCCTGCGAGGTACACAGTAACTCTTGCAGGAACAACCTTGTCCATAAAATACCTTTCTAAGAAAGGATACCTAAGACCCATGCCATCCAGTCAGCAAATCAAGACAATGATCAAAACAAAGCGAGACATTTATAGAGACAAACATACAAGTAAACAAGATCAAAAGTGATATTAGTATATGGTAAGTATTAATAAAAATAGAACATTAATTTGTGTGACTGGCTTATTGCTACAGAAGAGTATTTGAGTAATACCTATCTTCAGATCTTTCACCTTGGTATTTGAATACACATATAGATTGTGAGCATCATTCAAAGTTGTATTTATGTCAAAATTATCAGTTAAATGTTTTAGTGTAGATTATAGTTCCCAAATGGATTTCTGTTTTCAGTGCATTAGTGCTTTGTGTGCCAAGAATGAAAGAAAAAACTTTCTAAATTTGCTTATATTAGATGCTCCTTAGAAGTTACAGCTTGTTTAAGTTACAAGTACCAAAATATACTGAATACTATAAAACATAACTAGGGTGGTAATCTAATATTTTTTATTACCTTGCTGGTAAGGTAATTTTTAATAACTCAGCGGTTTATTGAGGTAGCTTCAGAAAACCTGCAAAAAGTCACTTACCTTCATAAAGAGTGAAAAAGTGTGTGCCAACCTTTTTTTTTATGCATGGTCATACAATATTTAGTTAAAGATTACTTTCATTTGTTTTAAATCTGTTATAGTTAATGCTTCCTCCTTTTATGCTAAAGTAATATCACGTATCATGGAGTAATAGCTTGTTAAACTTTCTTGAGGTATTTTCTGTTAGTGTTTTTAATTACTTAAAATTATTGTGAAAATGGTAGATATTAACACTAGCAAATTTGGGAATGTTATGAACACAAGAATAAAAAATTATACAAGATGCTGGAGTTAAATATGTGGATTCAAATATAATATGTTTATTTTTGTTCACTGATATTTTCATGTTAATGTTTATACCTGTCTACAAAGATTTAGGTGATTAAGTAAATTATAATCAATTTCCAAAGACCAGTGATTATGTCAATCAGTGTCATATAAATTGATTAATGTCATGAAAGTAATAAAATAATCAAAATCAGTGTGTTTCCAATTACATTATTATTTTTGATTATTTCAACAATTGATTAATCAAAATTATAATTAAATTGATTAATGCCAAGAAAATAATCAACTGATAGAAATTAGTGTTTTCAGTTATTACTGTTTATGATTATTCTAACAATCAATTAATTGAATAAGATGTTTTGATTTTTACTGTTTTTGATTATTCCAACTACCTAGTAATAAAAAATACTACCAATTTAGATTTTTCCTTATTATGTTTGATTAATTCAAGTTTGTTCAGCTTAATTGATGAGTTTTATGACTGATGATAATAATCAACTAATTGGAATTAGGAATTTTGATTACTGCAATTTTTAATTATCAAAGTAATTGAAAAATTGCCATTATGTTTGTTTGATAAGCACAAAGTTACATAATGGGCTATGTTCTTCACACCACAGGTTATCAAAGTCCTATTGTTGGTGTTATTAGTTTTTTCTTCCTCATTGATGTAATAGTTGATTATTTGAATGTAATTGAATAATAAACCCGTTGATTAATCAGTTAAAAATTCCACTAATCACCCAGCTCTACAGGCTAGTGGAAATAATAAGCTTGCTAACATTGAAACTGAAATTAGGCTGTGTTTCCTGGCTAAAATGCATTGCTATAAAAATAAATTAGTTGAACTACAAAGACATTCTTACTGTAAGTGGTACGCTCAAGCAATTGAATTCTCAGATTAAGAAAGAAAACCACCTTAGACTGTTTTTATTTTTAATATGAATAAAGTTATAAACTTAAACTTTTGTTCCTAGTATATTAAGATAGGATTTTTATTTTGTGTAAAATATGTTTGCCATGCAGTTTGTCATTTTGTAAAGACTGGGAATATCATTAATTGAAATTTCAAATCTTTTTGTGGAAGTTGTTTAATTTTAATGTTATTTGTGTTTTATGATGTGAATTTCACAACCACTTGGAGTTGATCTACTGTTTTATTATTTGCATGTATTCTTGTCAGCAAATTGTAGACTACATTGTTTTTGTCCATGCAATAGAAATATTGCTTGTTTTAGATCAGAATACATTGTTTTTGTCATTTCACAACTAGTCTACATCAATCTCAGCCAATCTCTAAGAATAACATAGTGTTTTTGCAGTGAAGTATAGAAAGAAGCTATACCAGTAAGCTACAGTACATGAGCTGGTCAGTAGAAAACTAAGAATGTAATTTTTTTGAGGTGATGCACACCTGTGAATGCAGAAAGATATCTGCCTTAGGGATTTGCAAGCCACTAGCCTTTTGGCAACTCCCACCTAAACTCACAAGATTTCTCATGATTTGAGCTTCTGCATAGTGATGTTATTATGCAGCAAAAGCCCTCCATCAATAGGAGGGTGACACAACCTAATTGTACACTGCCTCCCTCTATGCTTTTGCACTCATGATTTTCATTCTATTCCTTGGCACTGAACATATCACACATTTTTATTTGTCAATATAATGAGACTTGTGATGTTGAGGGAACTTAATTTCCTTCCTTTTTTCTTCAAAGTACGAATACTAGTTCATGTACTGCTTTCTGCTACTTGTATGAGTGACTAATTTCCTCACACAGATTGTGTAATAATGATGGCTTATGGAGGCATGTTTCTTGGGATGACATGGAGGCCATTATGGATAGGGTAGTAGGTTCACATATATTGCTAGGTGCTTCAGCTTCAGTCCCTTCATTGGGTGTTCCCTCCCCTTGTTTGTGGGGTGAATGAGGAGGACAAACTTCATTGTTCTTTCACCTATTTAGGCTTTGGGAACTTCTCTCCCTGTTGAAGAGAACCTTAACACTATAATGATGATGTCATTTTTAAAACTCTCTCTGCGCATATTACTGAGTTACATTCCAAATTTAATGAAAGTATTTTCATCAAGTATGCTATAATTCAAAGTTTTACATTATCTCAGTTTTACTTCAAAAGAAACTTCTAAAACAAAATTAAATATTTTGGTTTGTTAACACTTGACGATTTCGCAATTCAAGATATTTGAACATTAGAACTAATATACAAGAAACAAGTGTGTGTAATGTAGATGTCTCTTGTAGGTGTTCAGAGTACATGTACATAGCTTGTTTACAAGTAACTTGAGTCCAATTCCAAGAACTTTTGTCATAGGAAAATATCTTAAAAAATTCTTTAGTTCAAGATAAGCCACGTCCACTTCCAAAGGAGAAGCTGTGTTGCTAAATGAGTTTTAACTTGAAGGGCATGCTTATAATTAATAGAAAGAGCAGGTTTCCTGTTGAAATGTCATCAAATTAACAGTAAATGTAGAAACATATGTCCATTTACAAATGAGGCAAAATATAACTTAGTCCATTGTTGTTTAATGTAGGGTTCCTAGTGCTTGGCTATTTTTTCTTACCTTATACATATTAGTTTGATAGACAGTTAAACTGAATTTTGGTTTTACTTTTATATTTTAGTTAATTATGTATTATTTGTGTTTTAAAATTCACATTTAAAAGGTTCAATAATTTGATTAATTTATTCTATGCTTTGCCTTACTCAAAGATAGCGAGTGTGAAAAACAACCCTACCCTCCACCATTTTACCTTTTCTTCATCCTTAGTTCCATGAATTGTTTTATTCTCAACTTCCTCTTCTACTTGGCATCAGTCCTGTTGAGCTCATTGGTGACATTTCTGTTGTGTGGTGAGTCCTGTGGGTGCCTGGCTGTCATAGTTTATGCTTTTGTGGTCACACTTTTCTGTCCATTTGGTAGTTTTCTGCTTTTTACCCACAGACTTTCTCTCCACTTCCTTTACATTCCTCTTATTTCCTTTTCTTCTTCAGCTCCCATCTGTGTCTAATGTCCTTTTGAAGTTGTTTTCATCACCATTTCCACCAATTTCTCACTCCAAATCAATATCTTATTCACTGAGAATGTCTTTTCAACTTATTCTTGGCTGGGATCAGCCTTCTTCCATCTGCCTGTGTGCATTGGAACTTACTGTCATTAAGATAAGTGCCTGTCCTACTCATTCTGTGTATGAGGTTTTGGGTTAGGTAACCACAGCTTCATGGGGACTGCTTATCCCTTTGAGTCACATGCATATGTACCTCCTCAGTTGATCCTTGCATAACCACTGGGATGCCTAATGGAATTCTTTGATCTCAATGGTTCTCTTGTTCCTTCCTCTATTCTAATACTTGTATGGGTAGCTGGACTGATCTCTTGTTCCATTATCTCCATCCACTCTGGACTTCTTCACCTATGTCTATTTTGCATCTGGAACATGGACCCAGGACAAGTCCTCTCTTTATATCTCTGCACTTGAACTTCCGTTACAGTGTTGGGCATGATACTATCATTACCACTCCTAGTGGATTAGTTATGTTTCATCCCAAGAACTTCTTGGTTTCACCACCATGGAGTAATCCAATCCAGAAACTCTTGCTTGCAAACTTTGATCCTTCCTTCTTGGACCAATTCTCTAGACCAGACTGTGTTCTGCCTGCAGTACATATCTTTTCCCCCTGTTTCTATTGAGGGTTCAATTTTGAGGATTCTACTCATTGTTGCTTAGCCAACCCTCTCACTTTCATGCTTCCTCTCTTCTGATTATTTGTTCTCCATCCCTTAACCCTGGATGTTGCTGCCTTCCATTTGGTATAGTCTTTTATATCAACCCAACCCCTCTTCCCCTGCCAATTATATGCTCAGTTACTTCTGCATCTACCATTTTTTCATCACTAGATCTTGTCTTTCCACCTTTATGTTTGACTTAGTCCAGTCCTTTGCTTGTGGCACCAGACTTTACCATTTGGTAATTATTTCTCTTTTTGAGCATCATTCTAACTGGTCCTTCTACCCATGTGGGAGAAGGGGGCATGTCTTTGAAAGTTAATCCGTATGTCACCACTCTACCATTGGACATTTCCCTTCCCTTTACCAGACTATTGTACAAGGTTCAGCTGTCTCTGCCTTTGCATATTTTTGGGTGACCTTGTCTTCACTATTTTGTCTGCTTGATATTGCAAGGTGTTTCCTCCCTGTTTCTCTACACCATATTCAGATCCTTCCTTATCCATGCACACACTTGCCCTGTTCCCATGTCTGACTGGGACCTCAGTGTCATCTTGCACACTATTACCCAAACTGCAACTTCTACTGCTTCCTCCTCAGACATATTCTTTTATCTTCTTGCTTGTGGTTGCAGTTGTTCTTCTTTATGCTAGTGACTCATCCCATACCCTTTCCATCATTGTCTTATTCTTTTTTCTCCTGTCCAGTCTTCTCTCCCTCAGTCCTCAGCTGCTTGGGGAGGAAAAACTCCAACCATCTTCTCTCTCCCGTCCTTCTATTTCACTTTGCTATGCTTGTTAGTTACTGGACAGACTTTTTTGCTCCAGTTTGTGCTGTTCATTACTCCTAACCTTGTACCTCTCACTTTCAAGGTTTCTGTCTTCCACTCCTAATTTCCTGGGATTCCTCTTCCTTCAGAGACAATCTCTTTCTGCCTTTATTAGTATGGTGTGTCACATCTTTGTTTGATCTTCTCCTCTTCATCCCATCAGATTTGTCTCACCTCTCATTCTTTTGCTGCTTATTTCCTAAGGCCACTGGACAAGATAATTAATGCTGGCATATGGACTACCTCACATAACTTAATTGCTCACTTTCTATGACATTTGGCTGTCTTGTCTCCCAGGATTCACTTACTGCCTCCATTTGCTGTCCTACAATATACTCACTGTCCTTAAACGAGTGAGTACATTCCCCTTTGGTTTATAACATCTACTTCCAGGATCCTGCCAGGTGTCTGGTGGTGCCTTCATGGGTACACTTGTTTCTCAAAGTTCTGCATCAAGCCAGGATAACAAAAAGCATTCACACCATCTGCCCTGGCTACCTATATACTCACTGTTCACATGGGTGTTTTACAAGACCACTTGAGATATCCTCATGATATATTCTAACATGGAAAAAGCCATCACTTGGGGGTGCTCTGTCAGCTTCCCTGGCTCGCGCTTGCTGGTTTTTCAAAATAAGTTTACTTGGTTACCTGTTGCACTGTCTCCAGTAAAAGATGTTTCTGGCAGGTGTATGATGGGGATCTGGGCATCTTGTCTGGATCTTTCTACTGCAAATTCCTTTCCCCCTTTTTCACTGAGTGGAGCAAGGGAGACCCTTACCACATACCAGTTCCTAGCTGCTGGAGTGATCGATCATGGAGAACCCTTACAGATTGGGACCTAATAGGCAGTGTCAGTGGTGTCAGTCTGTGGGAAGTTGGGCAATGGCAACACTGTCAGTGTGGCACAGGTCATCCCTCTTTTAATTATGCTCATAACATGCCAGTGTCTTCCACCCTACTACTGCCCACATGTCTGTTCCTGGGTGGTTTCGTGTTGGATTGGCATCGGACCAGTCAACATAAGTCCTCATTCATGGTTGGTAGGAATCCTCTTTTTACTGTGAACTGGACAAAAAGTTCCTGCCTCAGTCTCATTTTGGACGAGAGTTGACCCACACATTTGTATTCCCTCCGTCCTACCATTGCCCAGATGTCAGGTTCCCAGGTGGCCTGGTGTTGGATATGCCCTTCCTGTGTTGTTGGAACAGTAGTTGTTTTCCCTTCTGCTTCCTGGTTATGAGGTGGAGACAGTTGGGACCCTCTTTTTACTGCAGATCTGAAGACATTGTCGATGCCACCCGGTTTTGGACTGGAGTTGACCTACCGAATACCTGCGATCATCTCCTGTTCAGTTGATTTGAGGTGAGAACTTTCTTATAAAATGTGCTCTCCTCCTGGAGAAGATGACTGTTCTGTTGAGTCAATGCACATACTAACATTATACAATCTCTAGTATGAATTCTTTGCACTCCTCCTACAGCTGGTATTGTTTGAAGAAGTCTGACAGTAGAGTTGAGGTGAGTACTCGGTATGGTTTGAATGCGCCCCAACCATGATGCACATATTGGCTCTCTGACATCTTGTGTGCAAGTACTCAGACAGCCATGTTCTTATTCTTCCCCTAACACATGGATTTTGTTTGCCTCTTCCTACTTTCCAATCTGGGCAAAGAGTGTACCCTGGAAGAGATGAGCTCATCTTGGTAATTTTTGCACCAGTCCCTCTGCCATATCAACGTGGGATTATAGCTTTCTGTGTGAAGAGATATGTACTGCCTTGGAATTTAACATTTTCCTTACCTAAATATGTATTTCTGATAGATACCTCTTCACACTTCTCACCTCTAGTGCAACTTTGTATTCCTTGTCTTGTTATAGTATGAAGATCATGAGTACAAAAGCATAGAGGGAGCTAGAGTGTGCAGGGAGGTTGTGTTGCCCTCCTATTGATGAAGGGCTTTTATTGCATAACAGCATTGTTATGCAAATCATGAGAAATCTCGTGAGCTTAAGTGGGAGTTTCCTAAAGGCTAGTGACATGCAAGTATAAGGCAGACACACGAGGAAGATAGCTTTCAAAAAAGTTAACTTTTAGTTGAGAATTTTTGAGTTTATCAGTAATGTTTAAAATAATGAGGAATATATTATTTAAATGTTAATTATTTTATATATATCCTTTTGTGTAGAACCATCACTGGAATTTCTTCAGACAAAAGGTTTTAGTAAAACTTTTAGTATTGGTGATGTCATGTTGGCTTTTTGTTATTGCAGTATCAACAAAATCAATATTGTTTGATTTCTTAAAGTCCAGTATGTAGGCCACTATTTTATATCTGTACATCTTACATTTACTGTACTGTTCTTTTTTAACACAATCTTTGAGTCAAGTAGAGAAAATCTGACAAATTTGCTAGATGTGTGGGGACTGATTAAATCTGGAAACCCAACAAATTTGGTATTGAGTAGCTGTTACATTGTATAAGCAGAAGTCAGTAGAGAGCCTAAGCTGGGCAGTGTGCATGTTTGAGATGATATGATGAATCACCCATGACCATAGCCTTGCTTGTGTTAAAATTTTCCTCACATCAGCTCTGATAAAATGATAATATCTTCCTTATCTTCATGCCATTTCTGAATCCTGCATAAGATAAGGTCTATTCTGGTTTAATTTCTGTAGGATATGTCCACTACTGGAATTAGGTGGTCAGGACTGACCTAGCAAAGCCATTCCACTTGACTTAAAATTTTAGCATTAAAGAACAGTAAATGTCATGTGCATCCAAAACTCTTTTCACATTTTTATTTATGATATCAGAGGCATAATCATGTTAGACATTACTATTTGAAGGTATAAATATAGATGGGTCCAGTAAAAGGTTAACTTCTTTGAATGAGGGTTTGTGAAGTATTTTTCACAGTGACAGAAATTTGTGTTTAACTACATTATATTTCTATGCTGTTGACTGAAAAAAATAATTCAATAAATTATTATCCTTTATATGTAAATGTGATGAACAAAATTTACTCAAAATATTTTTTTTGAATAGGTCTTAAAATACCACTCATAATTTAATATACATTTGGATTAGTTTCAAAGAAACTTGGAAGGCTGTGATGACCACGTGTTTAATGTATTCTTTCATTTGTCTGATTTCATAGGATTATTGTTATTTAATTTAAATTTTCTGCAATATTTTTGTTTCATTTTTTATCAATGTTCATAACAGAATGCCAAAACACTTTATAGTTTTATATTTATCATTTTGACATCTTTTGGTATGTTTTTACCTCAAACTGCTGAAGAAAGTAGAAGGAAGTTTTTCTTGCATGGTATAAAAATTTAAGAGACAATTCTTTGAGAAGACTGTAATGAAAAGATATAAATTATTTTGTGTGGTGAAGGCTAGACATCCATATCGAAGTTAACCCAATGTGGCAAGTCTTTGATAACTATACAATAAGGTGTGCTCTAAGGATTGTGACACTGTATTATTTATTTCAATGTCAGGAAAAATTTGAATATTTAATAACAAAATTAAATGAGGAAAAAAAGCACTGGAACATCTTTGTATTAATCTTCAAGGAATTGTATGTTTAAGTTGGAAAAAACTAGTATGTATGTCTTTTTTTTCCCTATCATTTGTACGTACAAATGAACATGTCAATAAATAATAGACGTTTTGAAAGTAAAAAAAAACAAATATAATTTTTTATATACAGATGGTACTGTTACATTGATTTTGTTTTCACAAACAACTATTTATTTTAATGTGAATAAAACAGTTCTGATCCTACACGTGTGAGACTTGCATCAGAGTAAATGTTAATGGAACTTGTTTGTGAAATGTATAATACTCTTCACTTCTCTTAAGGTTTTTATGATTTTTTTATTTGCAAACATCTTAGCTTCATCAAGCCTACAGGAAAGCTCAACTCCTGAAATTAGATGTAGCAGCAGGTTTGGGAAGACAGCTCTGCTTGAAGTATACACCAAATATAATAGGAATTACTAGGAAATGGATATATTCCAATGCTGCTTAATTCTTTCTGGACTGGAGGGTTGGCACTGATATCCCTTAATTATTTCCTATTCACAGTGGAAATACTTAATTCAAATTGCATGAAACATAGTACCTAAAATTCATGTACTTTAGTTTGTGAGATTTCCAAACTCATGTGAAACAGTTTTGAAGAACATTAAAATGCTCCTTTTGTCTTAGTATTTCATTTTTTTTTTTATTGGTGATCAGAAATTTCCATTTCTTTTATCCAGTCAGTCTCAACTTGATTGATATTCTTTACATATTTCTTTTGATACTTTATGTTGTGGTCACTATTTTTAGCTATAAATAAAAAAACTGATAGCAATTTATTAGTGACCTAGGACCTGACCTCTCAAAATGGCATTATTATTTTGGGCAAGTGAGGTGACAATATTCTTGGTCGAAATCAACTTTTATCACATAAACTGAGTAACTTTTCAATAGATAATAAGTTCTTTTATTTATCTGCATTGCTTGAGTATAAATGCAACAACAATATTCAAGAAATAAGAATATGAACCATCAGAATAATTTTATTTCTGCTATACTTTCTAAACCTAATGTAACTTACCTGACGTCTTGTCATAGAAGAATATTTTCATAGCCCCAAACAGATACAATTTAAAAATTTCCAGAAATGAAAAGAACATCTAATGAACCTATTAAGTAAATTCTCTTATATCTAGTTTGTTTCCAAGTCTTCAACTTTCCATGAGGTTTATTCATACAGGAGGTCCAGGTAGTAACAAATCATAAAGTACTAACATTTTCAAAAGACTTTAAATCACATATCTGCTCTATCAAACTGTTACCTGTAGCTATTTCCAAAGCTGTTTTCATTAGTAATTGTTCAGACCATATGCTGTTACATCATACAAGGGTGGGAATAAAAGGTTGTAGTAATAAAACTATGAACAAAGTGGGAAAGTCATGTCAGTAACAAGACACAGATAATAATGTTTTCAAGGATTTACAATTTTTCTTAGCAAATATAAACCTATCCTTTGGGATGAACTGAAAAATTATAAAAAATTTGTTTACAAGCAAGATTCGAAGCCGTAGAAATGAAAGTTAGAACACTATTCTGTGAATTACACTAAGTAAATGTTGACAAAATATCAATTCTAAACTATTTTTGTTTTAAAAATTGTTGAAATAGAGTTAGAATTATGAAATTTTACATAAAATCTGAAATTTGATACGCACTTGCCTTCTGGAAGATGTGGTCCATATAAGGTTAACTTAGATAACTCTGCTTGCAGTTTTCACCAAACATAACATTAACAAGTGCCATATCCCATTGCTGCTGATTTCAAGGAGACATAAACATCACACTTGTATAAATACATACAAGCAAGTTACAGAATTAAGTCCTAACAAAAGTGAAACTGACTTCTAAGGTGGAATTGACAAAAGAGGTTTAAACAAGAATTTGTTTTCAAGTTTGAAGATGCTTAAGTAGGGTCCATAAACAAACTTTGCCGCGAACAAGATTCCAGAACACAAAAAAAAAACAGTTATTAAGAACTCAAATTCGTGTTCAATTTACAAGAAGTATTTACTCAAAACCACTAAATCCATTTCATAATTATTAAATAAAAGACTTACAATAAGTTAAATTCTTTTACATTCCAAAATATTAGAACTAATGAACATGTCTTCTATGGAAGTCACTAATCAGTGAAGTTAGAAAAGAAACATTTTTTACTTTTTAAAAGCATGAAAATAGATAATTTTAAATATGATTACCATTACACAATTAAAAAATTTAGTTTGTTGCTGAATGCTTAGCCCCATGTCCCGAAACTTTAGTTATTACCGAGTTTATCAAACTACACCCATTGTCACATTCACTTCTAGAGCTACAAAACTGGAAATGTACTTATGACCGAGTTTATCAAACTACACCCATTGTTGTCACATTCACTTCTGAAGCCACAAAACTGGAAATGTACTTATCACCGAGTTTATCAAACTACACTCATTATTGTCACATTCACTTCTAGAGTCACGGAAAGTAGTTTGTGGTGGAATTGCATCAACTAAATGAACATATTCAACTAAACCCATCATAATTTAACTGTGAGAAAGGATCAACAGTTACAAATGCTTGATACTATAATAAAACAGAGAATCAAAAATATATAAAAATTATTAGAGTTCTATTGTGGCAATACAAAAGCTTCATTTCCTCAGGAAAAACAATTCATTAGTTTTAGTTTGGCATTAAAAATATAATTAAATAACTGAAAAAAGCTAGAATTATTACAGCTTTATGTGAAAACAAGTCAAAGACATAATTTCAGACTTCCTTATTTCTACAATGGTTAATATGTTATTGGGAAATATTCATTGGGCCCCTATTAAATTTTTTGATGTTTGGTAAATACTTTGAACCATTCTGTACATTTGTTGAGCTTTTATAAATACTTTGAACCACTGTGTTACATCTGCTGATGTTTGGTAAATACTTTGAACCACTGTGTTCCATCTGTTGAGACTTGGTAAATACTTTGAACCACTTTGTTACATCTGCTGATGTTTGGTAAATACTTTGAACCACTATGTTACATCTGCTGATGTTTGGTAACTACTTTGAACCACTCTGTTACATCTGCTGATGTTTGGTAACTACTTTGAACCACTCTGTTACATCTGCTAATGTTTGGTAAATACTTTGAACTACTGTGTTCCATCTGTTTATGTTTGATAAGTTTCTGAATCAACAAAGGTTACAAAATAAATTTGATGATTGAATTTCTTGCTGGTAATGCTATGTGATTGTGAATAATCAACTCTTAATGCAAGTGTGTTATAAGTTAGTCAAAATGTACAAAACAGATAAAAATATTATGATTTGACCACTATTTATGTAAAGCAGAAGTGGCTGGTAATTTAAAATGTGAACTATGGTTGAGAATTTGAAGAAAGTATTAAGTTTTTTTCTTTTTCTAGTGCTTTAAAACGTATAAAAATGTTAAATATTCAAACAGTAAATGGTGTGCGTTATGGTTATAGTATAAAATATAACTGGAACTTGCCACTGAATACATCAAATGTTTTGAGGAATTGAAGCTAAATATTATGGTAAGCACAAGAAAGTATATAAACGTTTTTTTTTATTAATTAAGAGTACTGGTTCAGGTGCACTTACAAAAGTGGTGCTCTTACATAATTATATTATTGTATTCTCATTTTCACATCACATTCCGGTCTAGAAAAAAAAAGTCTGAATAAGCCTACACAAAACATTATTAAACAGAATTTACCTCTACATAAACTGATATGTACTAATTCTAAAGTGCACAAAAACAACATCTGCAAATGTAGTTGTTTTGACATGTATATACTGCTTGATGGAGGGAACTCTTATTGTAAATCCACTGCACAAATTGAACTAGTCTATTAACATTCTAAAACAAACTGCATTCTATTACATGCTCACTAAGTGACTTTGATAATCCAAATGCAACTTTTATTCTATACATAACCAATAAATGTCATTGATATTTCAAAGGGAACTTTCACATTTCTTCAATATGTGTTACTTTTCACAAGTTTATGAAAGCTGTCAATGTAGCTTATATATTAGTTAGAGACTAAACAAACTACTCCAGCACTAGGTGTTACTTGTAATTCCTAGGACACCATTTTATTAAACTTATCACATCACAAAAAAAAAAGAAAGAGAAAAATACAGATATTGAAAACATGCAAATAAATTCAGGAGCTTAGAAAATGATCACAACATCAACAATATCCAGCAGATAAAATATGTGAAAATAAAAACAAGTCTGCAACAACAATACATGAATCTCATATAGTGTGGCACTGGTCTGAACAGTTTGGAGACTTAGTTCAGATCCTACATAGATACATAGAACCTGGAGTCAGTAATTAAACAGTGTTCAGACAGTACAGAACTGGTTTGGACAGCATGGAGGCCAAGTTCAGATCTTACATAGATAGATACATGGAACAAGGAGTCAGTAATCAAACAGTGGCCAGACAGTAAAGAACTGGTTTGGACAGCTTGGAGGCCAAGTTCAGATCCTACATAGATATAATACTCTTGTGGAACCAGAAATCAGTAATTAAACAGTGGCCAGTCAGTAAAGAATTGGTTTGGACAGCTTGGAGGCCAAGTTCAGATCCTACATGGATAGATATATGGAACCAGGAGTCAGTGATTAAACAGTGTTCAGACAGTAAAGAACTGGCTTGGACAGCATGGAGGCCAAGTTCAGATCCTATATAGATATAATACTCTTTTGGAACCAGAAATCAGTAATTAAACAGTGTTCAGACAGTAAAGAACTGGTTTGGACAGTTTTGAGGCCAAGTTCAGATCTTACATAGATATAATACTCTTGTTGAACCAGAAATCAGTCATTAAACAGTGGCCAGTCAGTAAAGAACTGGTTTGGACAGTGTGGAGGCCAAGTTCAGATCTTACATAGATAGATACATGGAACCAGGAGTCAGTAATTAAACAGTGTTCAGACAGTTTGGATGCCAAGTTCAGATCTTACATAGATATAATACTCTTGTGGAACCAGGAGTCAGTAAAAAACTGGTTTGGACAGTATGGAGGCCAAGTTCAGATCCTACATGGAACCAGGAGTCAGTAATTAAACAGTGTTCAAACAGTAAAGAACTGGCTTGGACAGCATGGAGGCCAAGTTCAGATCTTACATAGATAGATACATGGAACCAGGAGTCAGTAATTAAAGTGTTCAGACAATAAAGAACTGGTTTTGACAGTTTGGAGGCCAAGTTCAGATCCTACATAGATAGATACATGGCACCAGGAATCAGTAATTAGATAATGTTATTGTATTATTGATCTATTTTAGGTTATTAGTTTTCTAGTGGCAGCTATCTTATGATAATTGACATTTAGTTCTGCTTGTATGACCTATGAGATAAACTTGTAACTAACATTCTAATCAGAAATAAAAATTGGGTCTATTGTTTTCTACTTTATAGAAAAAAGCCAAGTGAAAAGATTTTTCATCTATCAAAGTTTATAAATTGAAACAGATGACATTTTTATTGATTAAAACTATAAACACATAGGAACTTTAGCTTTTTAATTTATTTTTATCTAGGTCTTATTGATTTACTGACTCTTTATAGTCACTGTTAAATTTTCCACATTTGAACATGAATATAATAAAATCTTTCATTACACAAATCTTCAAATTAATATTAGTAAAATATTATTGAAGGACATAATAAATATCTAAACTGTAAAAAAATAAAAATCAATAAATAAGTCCAAATATCAATGTCTATAAAATTAGTTTTAAGCACATTTAAAATCAGAGCAAAAAAAGTATTTTACATTGAACCTATCATGAGAGTGAGTTGAAATTAATTTTATAGACACTGACATTCTTAAATTGAGAATTATATTTTCAAAAAGTTTAAAATTATTTGAGTATTTCTAACATCTTTTTAAATATTTAAAGGACACATAAAACAAATAATTTATAATAAAATGTAAATGAATGATTAACAGCATTTTGAACTTATCAATTTAAACTTCTAAGCTAATTCAATACAACAAACTGAAAGAATATGTTGTTGCTGTTTAAGCTCCAGTATGCTGCCTTATGAATCACACAGAAATTCAAGTATTTCCACATTTCACTTTAAAAATACACACTATCATGAAGAATATTAAATTGCAAGCAGTTGACCAGCTATAGTATAATCTTCACTCTATAATACTATTCAAAGCAAACTATTTTGTATTGCTTTTTAAGAGCAGTTATTGCTTTCTTGTTATAAAACAAGAACTGGTGTAGATTTAAATGTTTATAGGATTGTTATTGATATAAAAACATTTCACATGATTTTGAAACAATTTTTTAATGTTATACAGTTCACTAAGATAACTAGTGCGCGTATTATTTTGACTTAACTGTTGCCTCATATCCTTGTTGTAGAGCTAAAAGTTAATTAAGAGATACTTGCATTTGTTTTATATTCAAGTAAGTTTGTTATTATGTTATTTTGATACCCAGAAAAATTGGTGTAAACTTTTAAACAGGAATTTCAGAACTTCTTCCTTACTAGAAATTATATTTATGACTATCCAATTATATGGATAATTCTAGATTGTGAATCATATATTGTAACAGTTTTTATCTTTCTTAGTTTTTCATGAAAAAAAACATTTATTTTGTGTTCCAAAACTATAAATGCTAGTCTTAAACATCTGTATATTTGACAATGTATTATATAGTATGAACTTATGGTATATGTCAATTCTATGATGAATTCTTCCTCCAAATTTCATTATTCATGACTGATTAACGACAGTAAATCAGGCTTTATAGAACACATGCTATTAATTTTTTTCCTGAAGAAGTATAATTGCAGTTTCTATTCTTCACTAATGTTTGTTTTCCTTACCATTTACATCTTACACATTATGTGTAGAAACAACATAAAGGGATTATACCAATGTTTTTATCCCACATGATAGGATAACTTTGGATCAAAGTCAGAATTTACATCTTACACACATTATGTTTAGAAACAATTTATAGGATTATACCAACATTTTTATCCCACATGATAGGATAACTTTGGATCAAAGTCAGAATTTACATCTTACACACATTATGTTTAGAAACAATTTATAGGATTATACCAATGTTTTTATCCCACATGATAGGATAACTTTGGATCAAAGTCAGAATTTACATCTTACACATTATGTTTAGAAACAACTTAAAAGGATTATACCAATGTTTTTATCCCACATGATGGGCTAATTCTGGATCAAAGTTTATACTTAAGTTAGATAAAAAGTAAGTTTAATGCTATTTTTAACTGTCATACAAAAAAAAAATGCAATTTCTACAACTTAGCAGACAGAGAGAGAGAACTACAGGTTAATTATCCAGTTTATTCCACAGAAAAGTTCATTCTGTTATCTTCTCAACTTCCTCCAATCTTCTGTAGATGGTCAGGTCAGCAAAATATGACTTTTTCTCATTATGTTTGAAGTGACTTCCTAACAAATAATCATTTACTGACATATTCAACTTTGTCTCTTTACTGAATTCTACTCATGTGAAACTACTTTTCTTCATGAGCCAGTATTAAAAACATCCTTTAAGTCAGGTGGAACATGAGTAAATTCTGAAAATAATCTTGAAAAATCATCACCATGATAGAGAGTACCTAAACTTATGATAGTTTAAAGAATGTTTGGTAAAAACCTGAGATTTGATTTTTCTCAACAAACCTGCTTGAAGAAAAATAAAAGCTAATGAAATAACATTTGAATCATTCTTCTGCATAAGATAACCTATAAAAGAGAGTTCCAAAATGTCAAGACTTTTTAAAAATATATCTTTGAAACATTTCTTACTAAAACAACAAATTCATGAAACAACTTGTGATGTTTTTACCACAAACCCATTGTGGGTACATACAAGTTATTTGGAAATTTACTCATTACACATTAGAGTAATAAAAAACAAAAATTGAAATATATTTTGGAAAAGTAAGTAAAAGTTAATTTTAATGAATATACAACAAATTTTACCCTAATGTTGCTGGTGAATGTTGTTAAGAGGAATGTTCTTTGTTTTGTAATTGTTCTTATCTGGCTCAAGTTTCTTTTTACATACAATCATATCAGGTTAATGTTTATGTATTATTTGGAAAACAAGACAGACAGTTATTGAGACATACAGATGGTGGTGTAGTTCTTGCTTCAATTCTTAGTTTGTTTTAATAATCTAGTGGGCTTATAAAACATCAACTGAACATTTTTGGCTGAACTTCATCGTTGCAATTATCACTTCCTCTTTCTCACACAATGAAAATACACTTACACAAACCATTCCTGATAAACTTGATGGTGCTGCAGTTGTTCCCATTTCCTATACAAGCCAGTTCTCACTTTGTGGGATAGTAGAGGCTTTCATGGGGCACGTCATAGCTGATCCCTGTGGCAGGGGAATACACGTTTCCTGGGTATGGTGGTGGTTTCTCTCCAAGTCTCTCGGGCGGGGTACTGTAGCGGGTCTGGGCTGCTGAGGGGCAGGCACGGGAGAGACAATAGAGCCATCTACTGGTGTCAGACTGAAACTTCTCCCCACTATGAGAGGGGCATTTTTAACCACAAAATAACAGTAATCACTAACAAATACCTTATCGCATGTACTCCACTAGCTGAGTAGTAGTATGAGACTAACTTCTATAAAATATTAAACTTTAACCCATATTCTGTATAAACTTGTCTTCATACATAATCTGTGACATTTCTACACAGTTTACCGGGCAAGCAGAATCTGGATATTTACAGTTTTCATGTATCTTTACGGCTGTAAATTACCAGTATGTATTCTGAAATACTTCCATCATGGGCAGTATATTTCATAGTTACTTGTTCCCATGCATAAAAAATTCCTAAAATATCTAGATTAAGGATATTTCTCTAATATATCCAAAACAAATGCTAAGATTATTATATACTGAAAAAAAATTTATTTCATGATAGTGATATTATTATATCAATGTATAAACATAAAGTTTTAGTAGATTATGAATAAAAACTGTGTATTTCTATAAGTCGTAAGAATCCAAAATATTATTAGTAAAAACACTGGTGTTGATGTCTTTGTGTAAGTATTAAAAACAGTTAATAAACCTAACAAATGTATATAATCCAGAATATTACTGGTAAAAACAGTGGTACTTTAGGTTTATAAACAGACATCAATACCACTGTTTTTACCAATAATATTCTGGATTCTATACATTTATCAGGTTTATAAACAGACATCAAGACCAGTGTTTTTATTAATGATATTCTGGATTCTATACATTTATTAGGTTTATAAACAGACATCAATACCACTGTTTTTACCAATAATATTCTGGATTCTATACATTTATTAGGTTTATAAACAGACATCTAAATGTATAGAATCCAGAATATTATTGGTAAAAACACTGATCTTCATGTCTGTTTATAAGCCTAATAAATGTATAGAATCCAGAATATTATTGGTAAAAACAGTGGTACTGATGTCTGTTTATAAACCTAATAAATGTATAGAATCCAGAATATTATTAGTAAAAACTGGTATTGATGTCTGTTTATAAACCTGATAAATGTACAGAATCCAGAATACCATTAGTAAGAACAGTGGTACTGATGTCTGTTTATAAATCTTATAAATGTACAGAATCCAGAATATCATTAATAAAAACAGTGGTATTGATGTATGTTTATAAACCTAATAAATGTACAGAATCCAGAATACCATTAGTATGAACAGTGGTACTGATGTCTGTTTATAAATCTAATAAATGTACAGAATCCAGAATATCATTAGTAAAAATAGTGGTATTGATGTATGTTTATAAACCTAATAAATATTTTGAATCTAGAATATTATTAGTAAAAACACTGGTCTTTGTGTAAGTGTTAAAAACAGTTAATAAACCTATAGAATCCAGAATATTATTAGTAAAAAACAGTGGTATTGATGTCATTAACAAATAGTGTTATAATATAATTTTCTACCTCATGCATAGCTTCAGTGTGTGTCTTTGGCTGAGTCAGAAATAAAGGTTGGTATGATCACCTACTTCTGGTTCTAATGTTTCACTGAAATAACTAGATGTTTTTTTCATAACTTACTAAAAATTTGTTAAGGGGGGGCTTCCAAACTTATACTTAGTTCTCCCACCACCACCACTGTGGTGTTTTTACAAGGTTGAGGGTTTAATTTCTAAGTAATAACATATGGTGTGAAAAGCTAGGAATTGGTTCAAACAAGTTGTTAAATACTACTTGTCTAATGGCTCAATATTTTAATCATAGTACTTACTAGGATAATGAGGATGACTTCCAAGTGGATGAAGTGGAGCATGCTGGCGATGCTGAAGAGCACCTTGTTGGTGCTGTCCTTGTCGGCGACACAAGCAAATTGCAATGCCTACTACACAGATGAAACAGACGATTATTATGCTAACTATGATGGCAACAAAAATGCTCACTCCTAATCCCATGATTTGACCAGTTGTAGTTTTGTCTGAAAAAAGTAAATTATCCATTACTCACATACTCATAAAGGGCAGAAGTGAATACTTCAGTGCATTTTCTAATGACCAACTTTAGAGTTGGGGAAGTTCAAGAGATACAAAATGAGGTGGAATACTATAAAGTAAAAAAAAACTTTACTTATTAATGTAAAAAGTTACCTGACAGACAAAAAGAGGAGGGCATTTTACTTGTTTACCTGACATATATAATGCCAAAGTTGTAAGCTGCATCACCAACACAAGTAGTAAACAAACATGTGCAAGAAGCTGTTTTTAGTACTTCATGTATTATCACACACAAATAGATTTCTTCTATAAATCATGTTCACATTAATGCTACTGGGTAAGAGTAAATCATGAATTTGACAAATTTTAAAATTAATATTGTTAAACATTTTCTAGTGTTAAGTTACTACTTCACTGATACTATAAAAATGAAGCTGCTGCATCATTATGATGTCAGCAACTACATCTGAAATGAAACTATAATAAAATAGTGTTAAGTTTATGGACTTAAAATGCTAAAATCCAGGGTTCAATTCCCCGTGATGGACACAGCAGTTAGCCCAATGTACATTGCTCTAAAAAACAAAACAAATAAGAAAGAAAATAAATGTTATATACAGTTTAAGACAAATAATCCAAATTTAAACAAACTTAAAAATCTTGGAAGGTTAAGCTTTAATAAAGGTAATGATTTTTATTAAAGATGAAAGAAAATTAATTTTCAGACATTTTGTCATGTAATTCACTGAACCAGCTTAATAAGTTAGGAAGATTTTTTTTTGTTACAGAAACTACAAGTTGGGGTTGTGTCAGGCATACTATACTTCATATTTATGCAGAATTTTACACAGTGCCACAAAATACATTACCAGTCCTCAATAAAGGTTTCTTTTTCTAAAAACACAAACCAACTTGTGGTTTCACAAACCAAACTGTACAGTAAAATATGTATAAATAATTTATATTTGACTAATTATGGATGCAAATTTCTTTGCACCTGTAAAATTTTGAAAAAAGGCTGCAAAATTGTTATATTTGTATTGTATAATCATGACTATAATATAAAAATTTTGCAGCAATGTTTGTAGTTAAATATATAAGTTTGCCTTCAAATGTTTTGGTTTTTAAAAATTTTTTGGCCTACTTTGAGCAAAAACTAAAGGATATATATTTATAATAAATTACACACACACACAAACATGTGTATACATACATATATGGAATAAATTAAGTATGACAATGAAAATAAAGGTTTTTATGCATGTAGGTTTCAAAGGTCTTGCTGGAAGGCCTAAATTATACTGTAATGAAAAAAGTTTAAATTTTATTTATAAATTTCAACTTTTATCATATCAGCTAGCCTGTTTATAATATTTTACATTACTATTATACCTCAGTAAATGTATTTTCACAACATTTTCCCACTTCTGTTTCTCCCTTCTTGCTCTAATGTACTTATTTCATAAGACAAAACATTAAAGTTTGAACTGGAGATGGCACACTAGCAAAGTCCCTATAAACCTCTATTAATCAATATGATTAGAGTAACAAACTGACACTTTGTAAGAGATGGAAGGTACGTTTGTGAGGTTTATGAAAATATACAAAAGACAAGTGAAGAAGTGTGCGTACTTTGAACTGTTTTAGACAAATCTTGCATGAAAAATTGTAGTGGTCTGTCTGTGTGTGTGTGGACCACTACTTTTAGGATAATGGATGTTCTGTCTTTATGTATGGACCAATAGTTTCTAAGGATAACTAGGATTCTGTCTTTACGTGTGGATCAATAGTTTCTGAGGGTAACTGGTGTTCTGTCTTTATGTGTGGACCAATAGTTTCTAAGGGTAACTGGTGTTCTGTCTTTATGTGTGGACCAATAGTTTCTAAGGGTAACTGGTGTTCTGTCTTTATGTGTGGACCAATAGTTTCTAAGGATAACTAGGATTCTGTCTTTATGTGTGGACCAATAGTTCCTAAGGGTAACTGGTGTTCTGTCTTTATGTGTGGACCAATAGTTTCTAAGGGTAATTGGTGTTCTGTCTTTATGTGTGGACCAATAGTTTCTAAGGGTAACTGGTGTTCTGTCTTTATGTGTGGACCAATAGTTTCTAAGGGTAACTGGTGTTCTGTTCTTTAAGTGTGTCGGACCTAATTAATTCGTAAGGGATTAAGTGTATTCTGGTTTTAATGTGTCGTAACAATGTATTCTAGGGAACTGTATTCTGTCTTA